GGAACAACAACACCAAGGGGGGGGGTAGGGGAAGCTGAATCTAGGTAGGAGGACGTGGTGGCTTGGCAGCTAGTTGCTGTGGAGGAGGGTCGGGAGAGGGCAGAAAACATTGTGGAGGTTCGTTTAACGCTCCCGTCGTGGGAGGTGGCATAGGGTATACTCTCGCCATCCTGAGCCATTGGCCTCTTACCTTCTCCCGTTGCACCTCTAGAAGCCTCTGGATGTCTTTGTCGCCAAACGAGCTCAAGCGCAGGCAGTGCGAAGCCTCGGACAGGGCGTAGAGCAGGTCTCTCAGGCTCTTCAGTACAGCCGACCCTGTCCCATGATCGCCACTCGCCAGCCCCAATCGATCTCCTACCTCCTCCACGAAAGCAGCTCTCATGTACTTTTTCTGCGGGGAAGGGTCGGCGAAAAAAGAAAGGGATAAGAAGCGCCACGAGCGAGAGAGAGATGGGGGGGGGGGGGGCAGNGGGGGGGGGGGGGGGGGGGGCAGTCAAGACGGGCTAAAGAAAACCTGCATACCCTCGAGTCGGGATTTGCGACCAATTCTCGGTTCTCGCAAGAGCGCACCTTGAAAATCTTCACGTACACATCACAGAACCCCCGAAAAAAAAAAACGATACAAAACGATGCTCTCTTGATGTCGTACTTCGAAGTATAACGAAAATCATCCAATGCGGTGAGGGGGTCCGCAAGGAAACAACGTGCAGATCCCTCGCTGTCTGCGCCCTTCCAACACATGTAGTGGTACCGCTACGTCACGACAAGAGCACCCAACCCATGATCTGTCACACACAGCTTTGGTTTCGGTTCGCCGATGCTGCTGCCTGGCCCTCTACGTTGGTGGTTATAGTCTGCACTCCACAAGACGACGGATGCCCCCACAACCCCTTCGTAGCGGTTTGGGCAGGATTGAGTGTCTGGACAACCATCGAGGGGCATCCGTCGAACATTGTCAAAGTACCTGGACTATTCAACACGAAGAAGGGGGACACGTCAAGATGTCGCTACGCTCACCAGGGATGCCGTGTCTGCCAAAACACCCCGGAACAGGAGAGTCGAAACTTCTGCTAGCCTCCAGAGATCGCTTGCGGTTTGCGATGCCCAGCCCCCCTCGCTCACAATGTCCTTGAGGGGCTCACTGCCGGAGATTCGAAGTGACGGATCCTTCACTAGAGCAGCCAGCCACGTCCTCCCCGCCGGGCTGAGGCCATCGACCATCGCTTTCATCGCTCTTCCGAAGGAGTTCTGCGAGTATAAAGTATTGTTGAGGGTTCAGCAAGCAGGTAGCAGTGAGAGCAGCCTTTCTCTGGGAAGCTTATGCACACAGACACGGCTGCGGCGACTCCTATCTCGTGAGTCTTGTGACTGAGGAGTCAACAGGGTCTTGTCTACGGTGGTCGGACGACAAGAGAATGGTTGAGGAAAAAATAAATATTATTGGCGATAACTCCGTGAACACAGCAGTGGCTCCGAGCGATAGAAAAGGGAAGTGACAATACGCACGACGAGCGGAGTATTCCCGCGCGCCTGTTGAGGCCAGCAAGATACTGAACTCACCAAAGGATCTTGATGCATGATGTCAACACCGATGGACTTGACGGGGTTGAGATGAAGGTGCTCACGAACGGGGTTCCGAACGAAGGCTCCGACCACGCCCTCCCGCGTCGAAACGATGCCTTGCTTCGTCTTGGTGGCCTCCTTCCTCACGAGACTCAAAGAGTGGTCGATGCCGTCCATCATTCGCGCGTTGCCCGCAATGTCGTACTGCCCATCGCCGAGTTCATCTTGGGTAACATTGCAGACGTTGCAGGGCTTGAAGGTCCCACTGCCGGATCGCTTGCAGTTGCAGAAAGATGCAACACCGCATGGAGCGCGATTTTCGTTTTTTTTATTACTCCACGTCGAAGAAGATGCATACATTAAAGCAAAACGTTTTCGGAGATCTCTNGGGTGCGTTGAACGGGGGAGTCGGCATTGATTGCGACGACGCCCGCGCGAAGGAACACCTGCATGAAAAGAAAGGAGAGGAACGGAAACGAAGGGTGCAGGGCGGTGGTCTGGTCATTGGGTGGCTGGAAAGAGTACAAACAGAGGCGAAGGAACCAGAAAACAATGTGGACGATGCATCTGTAAAAGTAGCAACTTCTCCGCCCGTCGAGGTATTATGGACACATCAATCATACCACACAAGAGACACTGAGGGTGAGCAATCTGCACCGAAAGGTTGGCGCTGGCCAACGCACACTTTACTCACCACGACCGGTTCCCCGTCGATGCACACGCGAGCCCGGCATCCGTTCTGCATCTTGCCAATCGTCCCGAAGACACCGTCGAGCTCCTGCTCCCATCTCGCTCGAGGTGCACCGAGAGAGCAAAGGTCCCATGACTCCAGGCGGCGACGGAAGGCACGCGTAGTCGAGCCAATGGTGAAGTGGGTGGCGTTGATCGAGTATGGGCTACCCCCTCGTTGGAAAAAGTTGAAGGCGTCGGTGAATATCACAAGTGGGATGCTGAAAACGGGCAATCCCGCTTTGTTGAAGTAGACTCGAGCCGCACGCTTGTCGAAGAAAAGTCCATACAAACCCTCAAACCGCCACGGGAGAACTTTAGGTTGGCCCGAGGGGCTCCAAACCTTCTTGTATTTCTCTTTCCCACAACGCCGAATGAACCCAGCCGCAGAAAACACCCGCCCAGAGCTCGACGAGCCGGCCCCAGCTCCCTGGACATGAGGAACCACGTCACAGCGCCCTTCGATGCGGCTGATGTCAATCTCCTCCCCGCCGTCGCCGTCCACAACCTCCCAAACCACGTCGGGTGGTGCCCCCGCCCCCGTGATCCGGGCCTCCGCGCTCGTGAGGAAAGGACTCACCCTCGAAACCAGCCGGGAGAGGTCTTCAACCCAAACAACCTCCGCCAGGCGATACGGCCGCGCCTCCTCCGGCCGTTCATCGGCAGACGCAACCAAGACGGTATCCCCGACAAAAATCTTCTCCTGTCTGCCGCTCGGGCCAACGAGCAAGGACTCGACACCCATGAGCGCGGATGCCGCCGCGACCTTCCCGTGAAGGAAACCGCGCCGGAGCCCACCAGCCGGCTTCGTTGCCACGGCCGTCAAGTGTTCATCAGGGACTCCGCTAGCTTCCCTCTCCGCCGAGGTCAGTAGGTGACCCTCTAGGTTGTCGAGTATTCCTGCTGCGGCACCAGGCGACTCCAGCCGCCGCTGCAAAAGGGCGGCGGGAGAGAACCCGACCACCGATGTTGTGAACCCCTTCTTGTCGTCGATCTCTCTCTCTGTGACAGGGAGGAGGGGCGTCAAAAGTCTCGCGTCTCTTGCGAAGTGATCGGCACTTGCTGGAACGTCGGCGGGTTTGATCCCTTGCCCATCTTCGTCAGTGTATCGGAGGCAGGAGAAAAGCAGGTTCTGTTGGGCGCGAGTGAGAGAGGCAAGGCGAACATAGTTCGCCAGTATCGCAAAGGTTAGGTTGGGATACGGGCACCACTTGCTCGCCATGCCCTGGGGTGTACACCTCAGCTGCTCTGGATCCCCATCAACTACCGTTGACGTTTTGCCTTCTTCCGCCGCTGGGGTCCAGACCAAGTCTTCCAACCAAGGCAGATCGCCTCCACCCGCGCTATCGCCGGAGCGGCCGCTAACGCTCTTTTCGAAAGGCGACGACGGGAGATTGCCGCCGTCGCCGTCACCGCTGCTGCTGCGGCCCCTGCTGCTGCTGTTACTACTCCGGCTGCTCTGGTCGTCGCTGCTGCTCTGGTCGTCGCTGCTGCTCTGGTCCTCGCTGCTGCTCTCAACCAAGCTGCTGCTGCTGCCACCGCCGCCTCCGCCTCCGCCTCCGCCTCCGCTGCTGCTGCTGCTACTACTCCTGCTACTGCTGCTGCTGCTGCTGCCGCTGCTCCTGCCACCGGCGCCGCCTCCGCCTCCGCCTCCGTTGCCGTTCCTCTCCCTCACGCCATCACCATCATTGCTTGTCTCATCGGCATCGATTCCTCTGTCATCAGGACTGGCGTTGTCCCCGACGAAACCTCCTGCGCCGCTATCCATGTCTTCCTCAGACGTATCCATGTCTTCTAACCCACACGCACCCACGCCACTTGTCCCAGCAGACTGAGGCTCACCGACGCTGCTGATGTCCCCATCGTTCTCATCAGGTGATGAAGCTCGTCGCCGCTTATTGCCACATCTGTTGCGGTGCCGATCCAAATCCCTTTGAGATGTCAACTTTTTCTGGCAGTAGTCGCATGTAAACCCCAAACCGATCCTTCTGTGGCCGCTCCCGCTCATGACAAGCCAGAGAAACGCATGTACATTGGGTGTGAAGCGGTGCAATTCTATCGGACCCGGAAAATATCAAAATATCGGGTATACCCCAAATTTGCCGCTGCGCCACTGAGCCCCTTTTGAATTTTTTTCCCGCGCCAAAGACTATGGTTATTATATGTCATAGTCTTTGTCCCGCGCGGCGCTTTGCCCAGACAAACCCTACTTTCCCCGACACTGCCCTTCGGCGTGACCATGCAGCCTAGGAGTTCGTCATCGCAAGGCGATGAATCGCCCGCGCCCCATGGGGCGATGACCTCCTCAGGGCGGCCAACAAGATCGCCGGCACGATTCAACAACAGCGTTGAGCCAACGACACCGCCCGCGCGGACACCTGCATTNACTGGTCTTGTTTTGAGCTCTCGCGCCGTTGACTCCATATCATCGGCATTGCACACACCACTCGTCGCACCCCTCTGCCTGCCCTACTGTAGTCAAAACAAAATGCTGGAAGTACAAAGTACGTTTTGGTTTTTCCTGTTATCAAAATTTTGTGAGAATCAACAGAAAGACTGGGGACGAAACCTCCCCGAAAAAGACCCCCGAGACTCAGTTGATCAGCAGTTCAACACACACCTCCCTGCTCGGTCTCCTAGCTTTCCACCCTCGGAAAAACTCACTTCGCACTGCCGTACTACCTCACGGTCGCACTTCCGCAGGAGGGTGACGTCGACAGCAGTACGGAAGGTCTGGCCAATGTTTTTGCGGACATGATCCAGACCGGGAGCCAGCAGCTCCTCCTTGCCACCGCGGCGGCTCTTATGGCGAGGGCCGGATTATCAGTCGTGAGTGCAACGCTTGTGTGCTGTAAATGTAAAGCGCGTCCAAGTGGCGAGCATGAAGGGGTTCGGTTGTCATGGACCTCAATTTGTAGAGTGTCCGGACCTGCTGTTTGTTGTCGAAAAATACAACACCGCCGTGTGCGCATTCCCGCGCTTCAACATGCCTATAGACGAACGTGCGTTTCGTCTGTGTTTTCACGATAGCGAAGTGCGTGCTGACAGGTGGGTTGCGTCGCTTTTCATCGTGTACGAGAGCGAGCTTTACTCTCGTCTCTTTTGCACTAGTATCGTTTGTTTGTTTTCCTCGTCGTTCTACATCCCCACCACTATCAGCTGAAAGTGCTGAGCTGAACTTTTCCCCCTGCGCTCTCTCCCCATCCCCAACATTACGTGACATGCCTCCAACTGACAGGTCATGTCGACCGGCGCCGAGCTCGCGGATGGCGTCCGCCAGGCCGCCACCGAGGGTGCGGCGGAGGGAGTTCGACAATCTTTCTCCAGCAGCTGGTCGTCGCTTGCGAACGAGAAGAAGACCACCTCCAGCGCATCAAGGAATTCCGCCGTCACGGTTGGGGTCTTCATCGCCCCCTTCACCGACTCGTTTCCTTCACCGCGGTCGAGTGCCACCTGCGCCAACACGCCCCTCCTGGAGGCGGGATACCAACTCGTGGTGTCGGATCACGGTCGGGAGGCAGGCAGCAGGGCCACTCTCGCAGGTATGTTTGTGTGCATGCGTGCGTGCATGCGTGCGTGTGAAAAGGGACGCCGCATTTGTTTACAGGCTCACACTCTTGCCTGTAAAAGGAGCCCCCTTCGCGTTTGGTCGTCGTGGAGTCTTTGCTTCACGCGAAGCCGTACTGTTCTAACAGACACGGTCAATTCTCGTGGTCACAAGGTAACTTCCCAAAAAAGGTTTACTGAAAAGCAAAAGTACAGAATATTCGACCCCGATCGGTCTGCAGAGCAATAACATCAAACATAGACTACTGCTGTAGGTCGCACAAAAAGATAATAGTCTGGAGCCCTCCGCTCCCCTCTGCACGCTATGCGAAGCGAAAATAAACAAGTACTTTGGACATCAATATCACCGGCTCCCGGGGGTAAACACGCCCCGGCCCTACATTGAGTGTGCCCTTTCACTGCAATGGTATTGTTATACCTTGCCGGGTTCTCGCCGGCCAGGTAGATACATCGAGTCAGCTACGCGCGGGGGAGAGGCAAATGAAAAAATAAAGACAAAATCAAAATAATATTGAAGCAAAACAAGAAGTCAGACCCACACGTGACAAAACTTAGCCGATCGAGCTAGGATACGCGTCATACTCCTGGCAGGGAGGGTAGGGAGAGGTTGGACATCATGGAGCAGCTCCGCTATGCGTCCCGTGCAACACGGTCCGCCATTTCTCGTTTGCTCCCTTCCTTCGCCTGCTTCGCCTCTGTTTCCGCTTTCCCGCCCCCTTAGATTTTCCCGCCTCTGTATTGTTCCTGGTCTTGTTGATGTCTCGTTTAGTTGCTCGATATCGGCTAGCCTCCTCCTCGTCGTGTTGTTCCATGAGGCCATGAACCTCTCGCCCCACCCCCCCCCCCGTCGCGTTTCCCTCCCGGTGAGACCAGGTTTGCCGGAATTTTAGAAAGATATCTTACAAGCATCTAATCCTAACCCTGTGGCCTAGAACATACCCACTGCCTTTCGTGGGTGGTCGTTTCGGGTTCGGTCGGAGTGTGTGGCCGGATGCTCACTCATGACCACTCATGACGCGGTGGTCAGGACCGTGCCGGTTGAATCATCGACAGCAGTCCCGATACTTTATTCATGGCCAAGGTCATGACCGGGCATGACAGAACACAGAACACAGAGGAGGTGACCTGCTGTGCCGTGTGTGTGTCTAACAGCGAGGAGGTAACATGGGGGGACAGAGAGAGAGAGAGAGAGAACAGCACAATACAGCAGTACATCGAGTGAGAGTCGAAGCAATCACAGCAGGCGGAGAAGTACATCTCACTTAGCTTAACATAGATAGATGCTAACAACCATACTTTTTTCTCTCCCTTGCCCCCCCCCACCGCACACGTTCGGTATCCTCAGCGGCCGTGGTGAGAAACGTGAATTCGAACAGATCCGATTTGTCGAAACCCGCCCGAGGGACATTCTACGAAAGTCTGTTGAGCGCGATCGACCTGTACGAGAAGCACTACCCGGCCTACAAGAGGCAGGCGTTGCGCGCCCGGCGGCAGGGCTTCCCACTGCTGTCGCTGTACGAGGTCGTCTGCCGATCGAGGCTGCCTGAGAAGGACGTTGAGGTCATCGAGAGCGGCGGCGGCAGCGGCAGCGAGGGCGGCGGTGACGACGACGACGACGAGTTCGACTTCAAGCTGACTGCCTTCACACAGCATTTTCCCGGATTGTGGAGCAAGGTAGCATGTTCCATACTTGCCTCTCTCTCGCATTATGGTTTTAGCAGGCTTGATATTTTCCGCTGAGCATTATCCATCGAAGTGTTCAAAATCATGCTGGTGCCATTCTTGTCTCTTCCTTTCTCTTGCCGTTGTACTGCTTTTGTCAAACACTGAAAGTAGAAGCAGCCGGAGATTGTGGTTAAGTTTTCCAAAGGTTATTCTCTCCCAAGATTCAATTAGGGCAGCGGTAGCGGAGTGTTTCGCCGATTTTCCGTTCGTTTTCATTATGGAAACAAGCTTACATGGACCTCGTATTCCCCTCTCCCCCGTGTGAAAATGCTGTTTCCTCTGACCCGTAGACCCAGCTTGGCACCGAGAGCCCGAGCGCGGAAGACCAGGCGCGAGGCATCAAGGCACCGAACACGCTGGCCAATGAGGCCTTCATCTACGTCTGCCGCCGTCACTCGGATCTGATCCCGGTTTCCGCAGAGACCAAGGAGAGGACGCGCGGGGCTTATCAGGCACACGAGGTGATGGGCCTCTCGCGCAAGGAGATGTGCTTGCTGGTACGTCAGCTTGCTTGTGTTTTTTCCCGCATGGAGTGCAGATTACTGGTGTACTATCGAAATGACGCGGCGACAAAAGCTCGAGATGATTGCGCAAGCAAGAGTGGTGGCAGAGGAGTGCATCGCACGATAGCGTGTTCTACAACCGCAGTTAGATCCCATGACTGCCCATTTTTTCTCTCGCGAGTGAACGGTTACTTTTCATGGAGCGTAGGTAGAATGGCGGTCTAGCGCGGCAGGGCTTGCCTAGCAAATTGAAGGGTGCACCAATGTAATCTCCCTCGGCAGCTGATCTTGTTGATTTTTGTACCCCCTGTCCGCACGGACAGCCTCGCCAAGAGCAGCGTCGATGCCTACTCGGGGGCTTTACCGGTTGCCCATTTTCGATGAGACGTTGGCTGCTGGCTTAGACTTGGGTCAAATAAGATACAGGGGATAGCGCACCAGCTCAGAGAGCCCCGCAGTTTTTTCCGCGGTCCTTCTTTCACGTAGACGGTCCATGACAACGATAAACGCGATCAAGTTATTGTGACATTCACCGCGTTTCCCTTGCTCGCTCTATTTCTCGTCATCGTCGTGCACGCATGCAGATGAACAACATTGGCCAAGACATCATCAGCAACATGATGGGATCCCTGGGCACGGATCAAAGGGACTTCAACTCTTGCCAGCCCAAAGACGCGGACGCAAGCTCGCAAGAGACCCAAGAGTCATCGCAGTCGTCACCCGCGGATGCTGTTCTTCAGCTTCAGCCGGAGCAAGCCCCGGGGTTCGATCTCCTTCGCCGAGCCAGGGCATGGGTGGACGCCCGGAAACTCCCGGCGGAAGGCGGAGGAAACAAGACCAACCAGGATTTTCTGAACGTGTGAGTTAGACCATGTCGGTCTGGGGTGTAATTTTGTTCGGAGTGAACCACGTAGTCCGTCTGCCTCCTGTTGTAGTCGTGCAAACTGTTGTTTGTGGGGTCTTGGGCTGTGTGACGAGCACAACTTGTCGATAGAAATATTCCGATCAACTCGGAAACCACACGGGCGGTAGGTATCCCTCAAACGCGACTCAGCGCATGCCCGCCCCCCTAAATCCCCCCATCTGTTCGGTCAACGTGTTGGCGTTGCGCATGGCTGCTCCCATCGACATAAGTACACGTGTGCCGGTTTTGTTTTTCCCCGTTTGGGCAAAATATCGAGCGATGCAAAACGCGAGCTGTCCGTGTCTGGACTGCTTACCCTACTTTGCTGTTGTTTGGCGAAATCAACTCGAGTGTCGATCGAATTCCCTATGCACTTGCATCGTACGCGTTGCTTGTTTCCTTACGTCGACTTTTCCCAGGTTCTTCAAGAATTGCCACAACGTCTACAAGAAGCGCATGGCCAAGTGCAAGGACAAGAAGTGCGGCACACTGGACGATGCCAATCGTATCCTGCGCCCATACCTCCGCAAGAAGAGCGGCTCAGGGAGCACGGGGGCGTCGGCTGCAAGCGGTGCTTCCGCTGCGGCAACCGCGGACACGTGAACAGTTCGCTTTTGAGTTTGCCTTCTGAGGGCATGCTCTTCGCGTTGGGCACGAGGTTCGTGTGCCTAGGCCCCTCGCTGCCATGGTCCTAGCTGACCGCACCCGTTTGATTTTCTAGGTGGCCTCGTGTGGATTGGAGGGTTCATAGGTTGTTGAAGGTCGAGCTACCCGTCGAACTCTTCCTCGCGGTGATTCTGTTTTTACGAGTGCGCTGCAAGCCGGGAGAGGAGGCTAGATGTACAGTAGCGGTCCGTCGTTTTTGTCTGGCGCTGTCTTGTCGGCTGGAATTCAGAGGGCGACGAGTCGGTTTTGGGTGCATGTGCATACCTCCGCGTGTCAAGTTGTTGTTGTTTACTGTTGTTCGTTTCGCCGGCGTGCGTGTTGTTTGAAAGATGGCTGTGCTCCTCGTCCGCATCTCTGTTGGGCTTGGCGGGTGGTATCTGGTCGTGCTCTTGTCGTCTTGAGGGCAGTAAACTCATGGGGAGTTGATTTTTGCATGCAAGGTTCGGGAGAGTACTTCGTTAGGGGTGAGGGGTGAACGTGCACATGCCTGCTTGGTGGCCCCTGGACACTGTCGAGAGAGCCGAAGATTGTCTTTTAGGGCCTTCTACAAGGCCGAGTAGAGAAGACCTAGGACAACGTTCGTTGCCTTTTCGGACCTTGTACAATGTGCGGTGAAAATACACTTGGTGACGTTTCAAAGCACCCTTTCCTTCCCCAACCCGCAAATCGTGGAACCTTACCCAATGGTTTCGGGCAGAGTGAACCTTGCACAAGGTCGGCCCGAGTGGACCCTACCCAACCTAGAAAGAGGCTCCGACCTTGGGCAAGGTCAGTGAAGTGAGCCTTGCGCAACGTTCGCTCCTCGCGGACATTGCAATATATGCTCTTTTTTTGGGACGATAACGTTGCACAAGGTCACCCCCGGTGACCTTGCGGCCACGTTGCACCACCCGAGCTCCTGTCCACCTGTGTTGCATCATCGTGTCCTTCTTCTCTTCGGCCTAGCGCCTCCTAGGTATCCCCAGCGGCGGGTGGGTCGTACGGGCCGCTGCTGCCACCTTCAGATGGCTCTCCGCCGCGTGATAAACAACTGTCTGTTGCTTCCTTGGTAAGAGGATGAGGAAAACCACTTTGGGGACAGGCCGGCTGGTTTCCCGGGGTTTCCGCCAGGATGGATGTTTGGACTGTGGTTCTCTCTGACAATCCATGGATTGTAAATAGTAAATAGGCGCTCCCGTGATCACGTACGCGGGTTAGCCGTTCCTGGTTTTTGGTCAGACCTTTGTCCGGGAACTTTCGTTGGGCCTGCCATTACAGCAGTGTTGGAGCATCATACCGGCCACTTCACCGAGGCCTGGTTCGGGAGAGCTCACAGGTGGAGGACACGCCCTGCCCCCGCCCAACCCTCCCTTTTTCCGAAGTTGCGCTCGCTTGCTGCGAACAGTACCAATGACTACCACGAGCACCACCGGCGGCGACGCATGGTACGACAAAATCTCGGTATACTCTTCCGACTACGAGCCTGCGACCTTCACCCCCGGGCCGTCCGTGGAGGCAAACCATGACCTCCTCGACGGGCTTCGGGAGAACGACTTCGATGTCGAGGACGCCCAGTACAGTGAGATGCATCGCGTTCGGAAGTTTGGCGTGGAATGTTACTTTCATAAGGGCCAACCCCAAGTGCAATGCTGAGTACGCGAGGCAGCAGCTTAGTCTATAGAGCTGTTGAGCTCTGGGCGGGCCGCCCCAGCTTGCAGTTTCTGTTCGCTCTTCTGTACGCTTGTCATGTGATAGCAGTGTTCTACGTCGTATTATTTGACCCGGGCGTTGGCTACGGTACCGACAGGCAGCGTTGTACTTCAGGGGCGATAGCCGGACTGCTTCAGTGCATGGAATTGTTTCAACTACCAATGATAGAGGTGGATCGTCTGGAACGGTCTGGTACCTATCCGCATTTCTGAGGTCTCATTATCCGTGTGCACTACCTTTTTTGAAAAGTCCCGAACCGTTCCTCGGAAGTATATCCGTTGTTTCGTCGTCGCGGGTGAAAACTCGTCTACAGCGAATCAACCCCAACCGCCGGTGTACAACCTCTCTGCCTAACAAACATACCTGGCAGCGCAAAGCTCACGATTCCGGAATCTCTTCAACAAGCGTCCATGAAGGCAAACATCATGAGCAGCACCCCGGCAGCGGGCGGGGTCCGCACTTTTTCTCAGAATATCCTACCTTCGAGAGAAGCAGTCAATCTTCGCAGCTCTCGTGGCACAACAGTATGTAGTTGCACACATACGGTTCACGTCTTCATCGAGAGCACCAGCCAGCCACTATCACGTTGTACGATTGTCTCCAAGAGAAGCCGCCACTCTTGTTTCCCACCTCGAGCACAGTGATCTACGACTGCAGCGATGTTTGCCGCGCGACAGGTGCCCCCACACCGCGCTTCCACTTATATGGCAATGAGAAGAAGTACACACACATATCCATGCGGACCAGAAGTTGCTGCCCACGTTGGTTGTTCTGTTTTCGGCCCCTGGTTGCTTCTAGGCCTCCATCGGCCGTTTTATTTTCGATTTAGATACACAAGCGTTATTTCTATACTAATTTCATGTAATTTCAGCTTCTTATTCTCCGTCAATCAAACAAAACGGCCGATGGAGCAAAGGCCTAGCCCCCCGGAAGCGGTGTGTTCAGAGACCGAGACGTGCCGCCACGTGTCTTGTCTAGAGGACCATCAAGTAACTAAGTACATAACCGCGCACAAACAAAAAAGCTTAGCGCAGTCGATGCTAACGATGAAGACAGACACATCCACGTTGAGCCTGTCGAATCGCTTTCCCATTTTAGACGCACTGAAGTTGGCTTGTGTTCATTGGTTAACAGAGTGCCGCGATCGATGCTGATGATGGAGATCCAACACACCTTCCATTCGTGTACATGCGTACGCTGCTGATATTTTTGTGGATTGTTCGCCATCAGTTGTGTGGGGCGCAAAGGGCGAAAACAATCGGGGCGCTTGCTCGGAACAGCACTATACTTCCGACCGTAGAAATTTAGCACTCTTCAACTTGCCGGCCCCGCCCCGCGCTCGATTTTGTTCGTTCTCAAAATTTCCTTTAGACCACTAGGATGATGACTGACCGAAAAATTTAGTCCGGGCGAGCCACGTGAGATCGACAAGACGGCTGACTTAGTCACCGACGGCCGCTACTACGATGCTGCCGCCGCCCCTGCTGCTGCTGCTGCTGCTGCTGCTGCTGCTTGTCATTTCGGCTCCGTGAAACGTTTCTGAAAGGTGCTGGACTGGTGACGCTCATCATAGTATTTCTCGTGGCCGGTCTGCTCGCGTGCTGCCTGATCCCCTGCCTGTACAAGTGCCTGGGGACTTCAAGACAGGAACGCCTCCGAGAGAGGTCGGTTACCTACTATTGTACCCAGTCTGTCTCCACAAAGTGCCTGTAGTCACTTTTCAAGTCCAATTGTTGGTCGGTTACATGCATAAGTCAACAAAGAACTTGTGCGCGTATTCACGTTATCTGGTCTTGAGTTTTTGAATTGCAATCGTACGAATGCGCCTCCGATGCTTTTGGCCCGAGAGGTGGCACAGGTCGGCTTTCGTGGTGTTCCTTGGATAAAAGACGAGATCCGTCGCGTCACCGAACGCATAGCTTGAAAACGCCCCACTACACTCATGTCAGGCACGGATGGTGTGGTACGTTCCGAGATGGCGTGGCGACGTTTCGCCGGCTGTGATTTCTCACGGAACATTCCCGGCGCCTTTCTTCGCTGCACGAAAGGTTCCAAACATTGCTTCACCATTCCCACCCGGTCTCTACGTTAGGTAAATGCCAGCGTGTAGTATCTGGTGGATTATTCGCCGAAATCCAAGCGCGCACTGGTTTAACCTCGTGTATCAAGGGCTTCTGAGATTCTCGAAGTATGCCCTGTAGTCTTAACAGCGGGGGGTCCACTGAATGTAACAGCAGCTCTGTGTGCTTTGACCTACAGAGCAGTGCGTGATGCGCACACAGCGCGTGCCCAGAGCACCGCATAGCTGCAGACCGATTGTAGCGCGGGGTATGTAAGATGCCACGGTTCATGGTAGATACCACAAGCAGTTCCACATGAATACCACCAACCCCGACAGAGCACCACCACGCAACCGGCCGACTAAACACCCGGGTTGCCTATGCTCCAGCATCCCCTGAGAGCATGCCGTTCACGGCCCCACGCCACGCCCCTCGAGTTCGAATACCCGACGATACCCGCGTCATGAGCATCGCAAGATATTACTGTGTGGAGACGGGCCGCACGGAGCAAGAGGAGACATGTAGCCCCCTATGAAGTAACTTTGAAGGCTACAATAATGCGCCTAATCTACCGTTGATAATGTTTGCGTTGAACACGGTAGCCTTCATTCCCAGCATGAAAACCCCAAAGGAAGGTATTAAGTAATGTGACTTCGTATCCCCCCCTCTTCCCACCCACTAACCCCCCCAACGGTCATTTCTCGCCGTCACGACCCCCACAGGATGAAGTTTGGCAAGCAGACCCACTACGGGGGAAACATACTCATGGTGTTGGCTAGCGTGGCGGCCATCGCGTCGGCTGCCGGTGCTATCTGGGGCCTGCAGAGGGCGGATTCCGGCCTGACGAACATCGAGGACGCGACGCAGAACATGGCCACAGACATGCTCACGGTGAGAGAGAAAGAGAACCACAAAACATTCGTAGATTCATGCCACCGACATTCTTGCGGTGAGAAAGAAAGAGAACCACGAAACGTGTAGATTCATGCCACGACATTCTTGCGGTGAGAGAGAAGGAACCACGAAACGACGTACAGCAGGTGGCTCGTACGTTACCCACACCTGCTGATCACTCTCTTGTGAGAGAGAGAGAGCCTGTTACCAACACATAGCTTCACATCTGAAGGGCTGGGGTACTCGAGATGGGTTGCTCCGCCCAGCTCGCCTGGCCGCAGATTTGCACACCCGCGTACATGTCCGCCTAATTCCCAGCGAAAGCCCAACTATAGCACAAGTGATCCCTTCGGAGTATGTGTCATGAAGGGGTGATGCAAGCCAGCAATAAACAGCAGGCAGCAGGACCAGCCCACAGCTAGCTGCCAGCTGTAACGTTTCCCAAGCCCGAACGGTTGGCGTGTTTTTGACTCGAACAGCCCAGCGAACCTCAACGAATCAAAAAATTATGTGCGGCAGTATACAGCAGTCTTATCCGCGTACCCGCTGCTGGCCTTTCTGTGTTTGTTTATGTGCCCGCCGCCGCGCCGCGCGAAAGATTCTTAACCTTGCCAACGACACCTCCGTCGCTCTGGACCAAGTGACAGCGTCGTACGAAGCCCTGCAGGAGAGCGTCGACGGCTGCGACAACGGGGCCATCCTCTCCAGCTTGCTCGACGCGTTCGACATCAACTCCTTGACGGCGAGCGTGCAGGCGGAGATCGATGACGTGAGCGAGGACAACTTCGGGGAGCTCGCGGACGACGTGAGTGTGTCACGAAGGGCACCGGGGTCGTGCCTGTTTTCACTTGCTGTCTTGTTGGTGGTGGTATTGTTTGTTGTTTTGTTGTTTATCGTTCGTGATGTGTGTTGTGTACTCAGTTCGTTTGTCCGTGTCTTTTACGGGCACCTGGCAAGATGCCGGGATGGAATCAAGTCGTGACAATCATTTCGTGCTCTCGCACGCCTTCTTTTTATGCAGCGCAAAAA